CTGATTGCACTGGAACGTATCTTTTTAAAGATGGATGGTTCAGATATCAAAGAGAGCAGATTATAGGAATTCCCAGTGGTTTAGGTGTGTAGACGTAAACCCGGTTTCAGTTACAGAGGGAGCGTAAGCGAGGTTCAGAGCAGACTGAATTGCACAACCAAAGCCATTAACGCTGCGGTGATGCTTCTCTGTGTTGAGGGGATATTTCTTTCCATCATGTTCCCCAGGGGTTCTCCAAGATCATGGCTCCTTTGACATTGTAAATGCTTTATAGCTGCTTCATGTGGTAAAGTTCAGCAGAAACAGTAGGCCAGCGATACCATCATCTGCTGTATAGCTGTGCAGCGTGTTCTTTTGCAGCTCCTCCCAGGGAGCATTTGCTGTCCAACTCTGGGCTCACAGGCACAGTTCAAAACAGTAGGAATTGCCTCATCCTCAGTGATTCTTGAATCTTCTCCCTTGGTTGTCATCTCCCGTCTGGCCTGTGCCAGATAACCACTCATGTAGTTGTTCTCTTCAAAAGCACCCAGAAAGAAATTTTTGTTTGGCTTAGCTTTTGTGTTCTTAAAATGATCTTTCAGCAAGTAAAGATCTGAAGAAATGAGACTGACTTAATTGATACATTATGGGATATGATGTGCATATGGATGTACGTATTGCGAGACAGAGAAAAAAAACCATCCCTCTGCAGTTGCACTTCTAGATGCGGAGTATCCCAACTTTGTGGAGCGTGGGGAGGAAGGGGGAGCAGTGAACTTAACTTTCTGCCGAATGACTTCATGAGGAATTTCCCCTGTGGAGTCTGTCACGGGTTGGACTTGTGTCCTTGGAAATGTTACTTAGCCCTCTGTTATATTTTTCCATTCAGAAAAGGGCACTAAAACCACCTTTTTTATTTTTTCCTAAAGTTGCTTAGAGAAACTAAGTGTCTGCAAAGTTTTGTGTTGCTTTTCAAGGGAACAAGAACTAACTGAATTTCATTTTTTGATCAGATTTTATAACTGTAGCTTGCCACATCTTTTGCCAAAATGTAAGGTTGTGTGTGGAAGCTGTGAACGTCCACTCTTGTCCTGACAGGAGGGCTTCCACCGCCTGCCTCTGGCCTCTGGTGTGTGGCTGTTGCAGTTTCAGTGGTAGCACCACACCAGACTCTTTCAAAGGCTGTGTGCTCATCTGCAGGCTGTCCACAGGGGGTGATAATGTCACCTCTCTGACAGCCTTCGTCTAGGTATTTGTTGTCTACTTCTTAGAGCTCAGCTTAAGTTTGCTTTAAGTTTAGTTTTGTTTTTCTCGATGTCTGTGAGACCAGAGCTGATATTGGACACAAATAAAATGTAGGATACCAGGAAGATTTAAAAAATGCCAGGTGTGTAATGATGAGATGCAGTCAGAAGGGAGGATCATCTCACTGTGAAGGTGAGAACTGGACCCTGAGATGTATTTCATTCCTGACCTTGCTCTGACCAGGCCTTTCCAGATGAGACAACGCTAAAAGCCATCATCAGCTGCAGCACCACCCCACCTCCCAGCTGCTTGCATGTGCAGGACGAAGCACTCAGCAGCTTGAGCAGAATTGTTTACCAGTCCCTGTGGTTTGCACATCCCATGTGGAGAAGCCCTGGCCTATGGTGCAGCAATCAGGGATCTCCAGGAGGTGTGGCTGAGGCGTTTTGGAGGAAAAAGAGATAAGTCTTTGTCCTTTCACTTCTCGTGTTAGAGGTTTTCTTACAAAATGGTTGCTCTTCCCACTAAATGACAACCTCTTGTTCTGCACTTTGGAAATAAAAATAAAATTTTGAAAACGTAAGACCTGGTATTCAGGAGGAAGGCAGAACCTGCAGCAGCACAAGGTTAGGGCAGACAGCTCAGGAACTTCCAGACCGGAAGACTGGTGTGGAGCTGCTCAGAGTGGCCAAACCTCAGAGCTTCCAGCAGTTGTTGAGAGCTGAATATTGCTGATTCTGTTCCTGAGCTTTAAAGTCACTGATTCTGGGACCCATGGTGTTTATCCACCCTAGCTTTTAGGGTACTGAATTTGGTACCAAAGTTCCTAAAGTCTACTTCACTCCCGTATTTTTAGCAGCTAAGGGCATCCCGAATTCAGCTACAGAGCTACCCTAACAGCTCTGCCCTCTATAATGGGAAGAAACAGCATAGCCTCTCCCTTTTCGGCCTTACCTTCATACTTTATGGGATGCATTGCGAACAAGAGTGCACCACAGCTCTGTGACCTTCATCTTCCCAGTGATAACAGCCTTCCTCCTCCTTCCACCTATGGTCATAAAATAGCTACCCATGTAAATTGGTCATTTATTTTGATACGTTGTAGGCTGCTCTAAGAAGTGGAACACAGGATGCTGGCTCACTCGGAAGTCAGCAGCAAGGTGGGTAGTTGAACCCTGAGCTGTTCTGCAGCGGTGGGCACATCAGCAGCTTTGCTTTTATATCCTGCTCAAACTAGGTGGCATGCCAGCTTTTTTAGGCAGGTCTATTGTGATAGTTGTTCACAGTTGGTACTGTGAAGTGTGTCACTTTTCCTTTCCAGATGCTCTGTGCTACCAAATAAGGGGAAAACATGTGTTTCCCAATGCTATGATAAGTCAGAGGTATAAGTTACAGCTTTACCATATTGAGAAAGGAATGCAAAGGCACCCTTCTCTATCAGCACAGAAAACGTTTACAGAATTCAGCTATAAGACATGGCAATATTCACTGAAGCAAACTGTATCAGCGCTGAGAAGCAACTGGGGCCTTCTCTGTCTTGTTGATTTGCTTTTTAAGTTAAAAACTATTTTTACTAGTTAGATTTCTCTTTAGATACAATTCTACATTTTTTTTCTTTTTTCCTTGGCTAAAGTCTCTCACAAGTAAAAAAAAAGAATTATATCAGCTCATTTCAGTTAGCTTCTGCTTTTGTATAACATTTTCTAATTTTTGTGCACAGCTGAATTTAGTTTAGTTAATAATAAAATATCCAAAAAAGGGGGATACATGAAAATGAATCTAATCTGTTCACCACTTTGCAGTATATTTTTTTCCTTTTCAGTATTTTTTTCTTGCTTTGGTTAAGTGCCTTGTCTGAGAGGAATAAAAATATCCAGTTCTGTTACCATGCTCTCCTTAAGCAGGAAATGAGCTTAAAAAAAAAAAGGCATTATCAGCCAAATTAGCTACACAATATGTTGCTAAGTTTCTCATTTTCAGATAGCTATTAAATAAATAAAAACAGAAACAGTGATTGGCACTCGGAAACCCAAATAACCATGAAATCTGAAGCATTTCCTTCTGCCAGAACACGGTGGATGCTGGGAAAATCCGTTAGCTTGCTTCTTAACTCTGCATAAAAAAGCTTAGACAAGAGAACGAGCTTGAGCATTAGCCCATAGTGCTCCACATTTTCTTCAGAGCTGACAGAGTTTGCATTGAGAAATGCCCTCCTGGCTAATGCCAGTAAGTTGTGTAGATTGTAGGTACGCCTGGGTGCTGACCTGACCCTTACTACCTTGTGGAGGTGGCTCTCCAAGGAAGACGTCTTTTCTGGAATGTTGTGGTGATGCTTCTGGGGCTGAGAGGCTGTGTGGGGTTCACCAGAAACGTTCCAGCACATCTGTGGTGACCACTACCACAACCACCAGAACCACCAGGCTCACCCTGGACCTCTCTGGCCAAGGCCACAGCTCTCCTACCTCCAGCAAGATGTCTGGTCACACATTGTGGTGTCGGCCTCTATCTGTTTCTGTCTTGGTGGTTCTTTGATTTGCACATCTGATGAGAACTTTGGTTTAGAGAGGGAGGAGATGAAGACCAGGAATCCTGAGCAATCCAGAGATACAGTACAGCCTACAGCCAGATGTGGTGATGGATGCTGCAAAGAAAGCATTTTCTTTTTGAACTGTCAGCACTGTCTGTGGCTTGACAGAATATTTTATCTTCATTTTAAACTTTTTACTCATTATTAAAATATTTAAATTGGCTGGTATGAAATGCTGTAGGAGTAAGTAGGAGTTTATTTCAGGGCAGCGGCGCTTAAAAAGAGCCCCATAAGCACAACCATGTACGGAGGCGACAGGGTATCGGTCCAGAGGAAGACTTACTGTCAGTGCAAATGTAATCCATATGTTAAAACTATAGAAAGTTTTTGTTAGTCTCATGGTTTGGCTAATATCAAGGAATGTTCCCTCCTGGGAGACTTAACTTTTAAGATCACGTAATGATAAGTGCTGTAATAAAATAATCTTTGGGGGTGATGTTAGAACTGGAGCTTTGGTTTTGAAATTATGTTCCATATTGATAGATAATGACATTAGTTGACTTGGGGGACAGTGGGGATTGGTAATGACTCCATCTCACGCACGGTAAATACAAACAGCTCTGACACTGTGGTTTAAGGAAGAGAGATCTGCTGTTTAAATGAATGTGCCACAAGTTTCTACCTCAAGAGAACAGGAGCTGACAATTTGTGAATGCCATGCTGTACTTCCTAAGAAAGCAATGTGGCTATTCCTTGTTTTTTGCAGGAATGTCAGTCTATCAGTAGCACTGACATGCTAGCATTGCAGTTCAGTGACAAAATGGGTGGTTGAAAAAAAATAGCTAAAAAACACAAGCATTTTCTTGTCTCTACGTTTTAAGATAAAATTTTCTCTCTGTTCAATTTTGCATAGTTCTAGGTCATACTGAAATGAGGTGCAAATTTACAAAAGGAACAGAAAATGGCTGCTGTTGAGATAAACACGGGAGGAGGGGGTTGTCCAGAGAGCAAGCAAGAAAGCTTTGGGTGTAGAAATGACTGTGATACAGTTTGTTTCTCTGAAAATCAGAGTAGGGTGAGACAGGCTGGGATCAAGGCCAAGTTTTCAAAACAGCTCAGGGGCACCTAGATAAAGTGCTGGATTTTGGATTATGTTGTACTCTAAGAAATAAGGCAGTCAGACTATGAGGGAATTGGTGAGAGCTGAGTTCCATTGCAAATCCAAGTGCATACTACTTTCTTCCTCCAGGCTGCTATCAGTGATCAGCGAGAGACTGTGTCCAGTACAAATGAGTCCAAATATGCAAGGGTAAGTCTATTCCTGAAATAAAGAGGTTATACTACTTGACACTGTCCAGTCTAGCTAAAAAAAAAATAAAAAGGTATTACACATTACCATATTCCATGTATATGACTTGTAGTTGTTCATTCTGGCTAGCTGTGATGTTCTTCAAGGATGGAGAGCTTTAGCATGTTGCTTGTTGGACAGGGAAACATCTTAAAACACACATAGTGCCACATGCAAATTTTTTTATGAGATGGTGGTGATATCCCTTAAATCTCATCAGTGATGCAGCTTAGCACTTGTGGTTTGGGATAAAAGAGAAATAAATCATTCAAGTAACTTCAGCCAATTTTTTTTTGTGTGTGTGTGTGCTACGTGCCATATATCCTACATATTTGCTTCTGCTGCAAATTCCGGTGATAGAAAAATACACTAATATTTACCAAACAACTTGATTACATTTGACATAGTAGGTTTATACAATATTTTCTTTAAGCTACTTTCTGTTTAAAAAGAAGGAAATCCTTTAGCAGGTCATCAGCAACTTTTCTGTACCTCCTCAACAGACTATGTGGGAAACTGTTGGAAGATTGATTATCAAGATTAATATTTATTTATTTATATTACCACAGTTCCCTTTAAACATGTTCCTCTCTTTTGCTATGAATTACATGTTAGAAAAAGCATTTGCACTCCCAACTGTTTACAGTCTGCAGTACTGCTTTAGAAAACTGACAATCTCAGTGAATGCTGACAGATAAAAAGTTTGCTACAGCTTGTAGCTGCTTCAGACTTTTTGCCTTAAGTGCAAGGAAAGTGAATTCAGGACACACTTCTGATATGTTACTGCTAATGTTGTACCTTTTTTCTTAGCTTCCATTTTAAACCATGTTAACAGCAACCTTAATGAAATGGGACCTCAAAAACAGAATACAAGCAAAGAAGATGCTTTCCTTAGGACATTGTAGCAATTATCTTACAAAAATGCTCTAATATTTTGTTGCTGATCAGACAAGAACGTTGGATGGGATGTGTGTATGCACATACCAGCCTAAAATTTATTAGGAGATACACAATATGTTTACAGCTTTCACTGTTTATATTCATGTTTGATAGTGTTGCTCTTCTACACAAAGTAAATTTTACAGAAGCATTTTAAGAGGTCAGATGCTAGCACTGGTCATGCATATCTACTGTTTTTATTACAACTATAGAAGTGACATTTAACCTAAGTTTGTAAGTATTTTTTCATTGTGGTATTGAAAGTCCATTCAGAACTAAAAAGTATAATGTCAGTTTTATAGAGAATAATAAATTACTTGTATTGTGTGTATTTTCATTCAAAATATTGAGAAATGTGTTTGTTTTGTGATGTTATTGTTCTTGCTAGACTTGTTCTTTCTTCAAGCATGAATCACGTTAAGATCGTGTCATGGACACTTCAGAAAAAATCCTTAAGGACAGTCAAATTGTGGGTCTGTTACTGCAAACAAAATAATTTCATAGAAAGGACAGTGAATATATGCCTGAGGTACAGTAATTCATTGAATGGCTGTTCCTTGTAATGCTTTGTGTCATTTTTAAATCCTAAAGGTTTAAATTTATACAAAATATGCTAGGTGCTTCTCTAACACAGTTTCCCCGTATTTTTATATCAAATATATGCAAAGAACAATTATATTTGCACATTTAAATGGCATCTAAGAGTATTCATACATTTAATCTAAGTAAAGATACAGTTTGTTGACTTACAGATTATTTTACAGCATTTCTGTGGGATTTATGTCTGCTTGATTTTAAAATAAATGTTTTTGTAAATGCGAACTAAAGTAAGAATCTAAGAGGAAAGCTGCTAGATGGATGGTGAAGTTATTTTCCAAAGCAGCGATTTCTGAAAGCCGAGAGGTGCTACCTCTTTCTTCCTCTCCACTGAATTGAATCATTTCCCACATTTCTCTGGATCATCCATCTTCAGACAGTAGACATTTTCCTGTGTTTTAGTGCATCTTTCACTCCTCCTTTCTCTCCATCATCCTCATACTGCCCTGATATTTATTTGCAGCTCCCTGTTACACTATCAGCAGGAAACAGATCCATCACACAGTGAGGTTATAATCATATGTGGGTGTGTGTCCCTATTCTTTGCACATCAGTGTATTTGGGGTCATCTCTTGAGAAGTGAGTTGAAAACAAATCGCACTTTCCTCCCTCTGTGTGATTAAAACTATTTTATGAAAAAGAGTAGTCAGTGTTTACTATTGAAGCAGTCTGAAGTCAGAAACACAGCACTCCTGAAAATGCACATTAGTATTTGCATTAAAAATATTTGTCTAAAAATATGCCCAGACCATATCAATTTATCTGCTACTAAACAGTGTCATCACATGATGTGTCCACTGTTTGTCATGGTTCTGTAGGCCATATTAAGTAATGATTTATCACTGGCACGTTGTCCTTCTAGTTCAAGTTATTGGCTAAATGGTGCCTGTGAGTGTCTTTACTATCTGCCTATCAGGGTCAAAGTGCAGGTTCCCAGGAGATAAGTCTCTGACTCGAGTGGCTGTTTTGCTGTTCAGAAACTTGAACATTATCCTGAGATGCCACTTTCCCTTCCTGCTCTGTTCTGAATTTCACCTCTCGCTTTACTATCTCCGCACAGTGAAAGATCAGGCTACAAACCTTCACCCAAGTAATTTCCTAAGAAACACTTGACATCAGTAGCTGTGAGCAGCAACAGAGACCAGTCACACTCAGACTGACTTTGTCCTGTCGAGATGGCTGTGAAGTAACAAACATCATCCTGATTTGACAATAAATTGTAGCCTAGAGCAGCAGTGCCTAGGCATGTGATTTAGAAGAACTCTTAACATATAATGTTTTTTCAGAGTGTAGAGCAATAAATGCCATAATTTTGATTGGATACCACCTGTAGGGAGAATAAAAGCAGGATAATCCTGACTGTAGGCCTGTGTGACAAAAGGCATTTTGTCTGATAAACATAAACAAAAATTGGTTTATAGACAACTTCTGTGAAACAACATCTCGAACTGTTTTGGCTTTTGGCAACCTTGTTTTGCTAATGAGATACCAGTGGAAACAAAGGCTATATCTGTTCCTGTCAAATGGAACTGGTAATAAAAAGAGACATAAAGATGTGGAATTAGAACTGTGTGGGATTTTGGAAGTGAAGTGGTATTTTCCTTCTTTTTTTACTTAATGAGGAGCTTATGTCTAATGTGCTTATTCTCTGGTTTAGGTTATGTAGTCATCAGTGGAAGGAGTCCCTTATAGAAATGTAGGAACTGGATTAGATTTTTCAGGATGCAACTGATTTTTAACCGTTTAGGTTCTTTCTCAAGCTCCTATTTCATCAGCATGCTGAAAAACAAAGTCTTGAACTCTCATAGAAGAGAAGATGAGGCACTGAAATCTCTGATGTAGCTTACCTTTATCTGAGCCTCATATGGGTAACCTTTGGAATGGGGTAGCCGAACTACATGAAATGTTTTAAATAGGGAGGTAAAATATTAATCATGATACTGTGCTGATTTCATTTGTCTGTAGAACTATTCATGTTCTGTTATTAGGTATTGATGCTGCGAAACACATGTAATTTTACTTCCAAAACTACCGCCTTCACATAACTATATGGTTTTAACACTTCATCATAGAGGTAAGTTTGTACACAAACAACAGTTTCTCAACTGTAGTGTCCTAAAAGTAATGTTACTTCTCATATCCTGGCATTACATAGTGTCTTTAGTTTAAAAGGACTATTGAACTGCTAAAGAAATTGCTGTGTTGCATCAGGCTGAAGGCCCCTGGGTTCCTTAAACATCCTCTTCATTGTGTCCATCTTTTGAGGACAAAGCTGGAACAGGGTGGGAGGCAGGTGCGAGGAAGCCCCACTGAATTACCTGGGCAAGAGCCTTAAGTAGCAGATTCTCACAGTTAAGTGGGAACTGGGAGTGCAGATTACATGAATACCTCTGTGTTTTAATGGAGCCTCCATCAGACACCCCTGCATGAAGTGACATTTAACATGGTGTATTTTGATGTCAAGTGTTTTCAACTTTTTCCTGTTCCTCAAAAATGGCTGCTAGGAAATGGCTATTTCTGTCCCCTTACATAAAATTACCTTAACGTCATCCCTTACCACTGAGGCCATCTGCCATATTTTGGTAGTATCAAACTGCCTCAGATCACAGAATGGAGTGGTTGCATTCATACTGCTTTTCTGGAGGTGGACCTTGATCCATGCTAACTCCTCACAATTGCTTTGATAGAATAGGAAGAATCATCTCAGTGATTTTTGCCACAGCTGAACAGTGTAGATAACAAAGTTCCAGTATCTGGGGATATTTCCTGGCTCTTTCTCGCAGAGAGTTTATGGTCCCCATAGAAGTCTCACTTACGTTGATGGGATTTACAAATATATTGCTCCCTTGGATTTAACTCATGGTCACAGAGAGATTTCATTGACTTATGTTTGTTATATGGTATTCAAATGCTAGGACACCACCAAGCATGAAATTACCAGATGAATCTGCTGGTTAGAAAAGAGATTGTGAGTGATCTTGTATGTAATCAAGCACCAGTTCTTGTTGAGGGCAAAGGGGTGAGGGGTTGAGGACAATGTCCGTGGATTTGTAGGTGGAAATGAGCAAAGTTATGGTGGTGAATTGGGATAAGAAAGTGGAAAAAAAGTGTACTTTCATGGAGTAATTATGTACACAAAAGCACATTTTCCATTCCTTTTTCCCCCATTCTATGCTTTAATTTTTCTTGACATTGGACCCATTATGGTATCGTATGAGTTTCGTCACAGAAGTAAATAACAGCTTGTTTCCTTGGGAGCGATTGAAAAACAGAGTAAAAACAGCACTTACTGTTTTTGAAAGTTGTCAGATTGTCATGGCAGTGAAGTGTTGCATCATGTTGTCATGACAACTCAAATTATAAAAACTGATTTAAAGAGAAATAAAAGCACTCTTCAGTGCTGAGAATCATGCAGCTTTAAAGGG